ATCTTACATATGTGCTATTTTGTAGCCTGTGACCTACGTCTCCCTGTTTCATTCTTCTCCTCACCCCTGATAACCATCGTTTTACTATCTCTATATACTTGACTTTTGTTTCCTTTTCTTTCTTTTCTTAGATTTTACATATAAGTTAGATCATGCAATATTTTCTTTCTGTGTCTGCCTTATTTCACTTAGCATAATGTTACCCATGTTGTGACAAATCTGGTTTTCTTTTAGGGCTAGGTAGTATTCCATTGTATGTACAGGCACACAATGGGTTCCAGATCACTGCAATAAAGCAAATATTACAACAAAGCAAGTCACATGGATTTTTTTGGTTTCCTAGTGCATATAAAAGTTATGTTTACACTATACCATAGTCCATTAAGTGTGCAATAGCATCATGTCTAAAAAACAATGTACATACCTTACTTCAAAAACACTTCATTGCTAAAAAATGCTAGCAATCATCTGAGCCTTCAGTGAGTCATAATCTTTTGGCTGATGGAGAGTCTTGCCCAATTTTGGTGGCTGCTGACTGATCAGGGTGGTGGTGGTTGAAGGTTGGGGTGGCTGTGGAAATTTCTTAAAATAAGCCAACAATGAAGCTTGCCTCATCAATTTACTCTTCCTTTCACCAAAGATTTCTCTGTATATGTGATGCTGTTTGATAGCATTTAAGCCACAGTAGAACTTCTTTCAAAATGAGAGTCAATCCTCTCAAACCCTGCTACTATTGATAATTTATCAACTAAAGTTGATGTAATATTCTAAATCTTTTGCTTTCATTTCTACAGTCTTCAGTGCATCTCTCTCAGAAGTAGTTCCCATCTCAAGAAACCATTTTCTTTGCTCATCCATAAAAAGCAACTTCTTATCCATTTAAGTCTGATCATGAGATTACAACAATTCAGTCACAACTTCAGACTGCACGTTGAATTCTGGTTCTCTTGCTGTTTCCACCACATCTACAGTTGCTTCTTCCCCTGAAGTCTTGAACCTTTCAGAGTCATCCTTGTGAGTTGGAATCAACTTCTTTCAAACTCCTGTTAATATTGATGTTTTCACCTCCTCCCATGAATCACAAATATTCACACTGGCATCTAGAAGGGTGAATCCTTTATAGAAGATTTTCTAAATTACTTTGCCCAGATTCATCAGAGAAATCACTCTCTATGGCAGCCATAGTGTAACAAAATGTATTTCTTAAGTAATAAGACTTGAAAGTCAAAATTACTCCTTGATCTGTGGGCTTCAGAATGGATGCTGTGTTCGAAGTCATGCAAACAACATTAATCTCCTCGTACATCTCCATGAGAGCTCTTGGGTGACCAGATGCATTGTTAATGAGCAATAACATTTTAAAAGGAATCTTTCATTTTCAGCAGTAGGTTTTGATAGTAAGCTTAAAAAATATTCAGTAAACTATGCTGTCAGCTGATGTGCTGTCATCCAGGCTTTGTTGTTCCTTTTCTAGAACACAGGCAGAGTAGATTTAGCATAATTCTTAAGGGACCTAGGATTTTCAGAATGGTAAATGAGCATTGGCTTCAACTTTAAGTCATTAGCTGCATTTGCCCTTAACAAGACAGTCAGCTTGTCCTTTAAAACTTTGGAGCCAGGCATTGACTTCTCCTTTCTAGCTATGAAGGTCCTAGAGGACATCTTGTCCTAATATGAGGCTGTTTTATCTACATTGAAAATTTGTTGTTTAGTGTAGCCACCTTCATCAATGATCTTAGCTAGATCTCTGGATAACGTGCTGCAGCTTCTACATCGGCAGTTGCAGCTTCACCTTGCACTTTTATATTATGGAAATGGCTTATTCCCTTAAACCTGACGAACCAACTTCTGCTAGCTTCCAATTTTTCTTCTGCAACTTTTTCACTTATCTCAGTCTTCACAGAATTAAAGAGAGTTAGGGCCTTACTCTGGATTTGGCTTTGGCTTAAGGAAATGTTGTAACTGGTTTGATCTTCTATCCAGACCACTAAAACTTTCTCCCTAATAGCAATAAGGCTGTTTTGCTTTCTTATCACTTGTGTGATTACTGTACTAGCACTTTTAATTTCCTTCCAGAACTTTTCCTTTGCATTCATAACTCAGCTAACTGTTTGGCACAAGAGGCCTAACTTTTAGCCTGTCTCAGCATTCAACCTGTCTCAGCTTTCAACATGCCTTCCTCACTAAGCTTAATTGTTTCTAGCTTTTGATTTCAAGTGAGATATGTGTGACTCTACATTTCACTTGAACACTTAGAGGCCATTGTAGGGTTCTTAGCTGACCTAAATTCGATATTGCATCTCAGGGAGTAGGGAGGTCTTAGGGAGAGGGAGAGAGATGGGAGAATGACCATTTGGTGGAACAGTCAGAACTTAGCAACATTTATCAATTAAATTTACCATCTTATATAGGCACAGTTTGAGGTGGACCAAAAGAAGTACAATAGTAACATCGAAGATCACCATAACAGACACAATAATAATGAAAAAGTTTGAAATATTGTGTGAATTACGAAAATGTGACACAGACATGAAGTGAGCACATGCTGTTGGAAAAATGATGCTGATAGACTTGCTTGAAGCAGGGTTACCATAAACCTTCCATTTGCAAAAAGTACAATATCTGTGAAGTGCAATAAAGTGAAATGCAGTAAAACGAAGTATGCTTGTATACCACAGTTTCTTTATTCATTCATCTGTTGATGGACACTTAGGTTGTTTCAGATCTTGGCTATTGTGAACAATACTGCAGTGAACCTGGGAATGCAGATATCTGTAAGAGGTGGTGATTTCATTTCTTTTGGGTATATGACCAGAAGAGGGATTGCTGGATCATATGGTAGTTCTATTTTTACTTTCTTTAGAAATCTCCATGCTGTTTTCCATAATGACTATACCAATCTACATTCCTACCAATAGTGTACAAGAATTCCCTTTTCTCCACACCCTCTCCAGCATTTGTTATCTTTTGACTTTTTGGTAGTAGCCGTTTTAACGGCTGTGAGGTGGTATCTCATAATAGTTTTGATTTGCATTTCCCTGGTGATTAATGATGTCAGACACCTTTTCATATTCCAGTTGTATATGGACATCTTATAATCCGTGCTGAGCAGTGTAAATCACATTCACAGTGCTGTGAGTTGAATTAGAGCATCATGATTGAATACGCCAAGTTGATGTTACTTGAATTTTATTGGTTGTGTAAGCTTATTTATATTTAATTCACAAATAATTTTTGACTTGTAGTTGTTTAAGAGCTATAAATGTAGAGCTTTTTGCTTATATTTAATAACATGTTGGATCATATTTAATAACATTGTAATGATCTGACTTAATTCAATACTGGGCATGTGAAAGAACATATTTCCTTGAGAAGGAGTCCATATTTTACTCAAATTTGAGAAATATTTGGCTAGAGTGGGAGTTGGCAAACTTTTTCTGTAAAAAGCCAGATAGTAAATATTTTAGGATTTGTAGATCAAGAGGCAAAATTGAAAATATCATGTAGGTGCTTATATGATAAAAGAGAGAGCAAATGTCTACAACTTTGTTGTTGATGAAATACAAATTATGTTAATATTTGAGTACAATTTTTTTTGTAATACAGGTCTACTGAGAAGTATGAATTTCCTTTTTGGGGAGGGAGATAATATTTTGCTTAATTGGAGTTCAAAGTTAGTGTTCCTTGTCATCAAGTGGGTTGCAAACATTCATCTGTAAAGCCATACTTAGCTTACATTTTTGTGCAGAAACCTTAGCTTGTGGGCTGTTTGTTAACATTTGCACTAGAGTACGAGGCATTTTTTGAGAGCAGACCTCTCTAAACCTGTTTTATCTCTTGTAAGCTCTCCTATAAACTGGGGACAGTGAAAGGAGCAACCTCTCTGGGCTGTTGTGAAGTTTAAAGTTTGATAATTTATGAGAGATACTTAGATGACTGTCTTATCATCATTACCTTTCAGAGAATATTTCATACTTGCTTTGGAAAGTCATATAGGTCACTGGAGGTTTCTAAGCAGGAAATAGCAAAACCAGACCTGTGCTTTAGAAGAGTCATCTGGCAACAGCATGAGGGATGGATTAGAGTAGGGGAGGGCCAGGAAGACAGGAGTCCAGTAGGAGGTTGTTAAAATAGCTTTCAATCCCATCATGGCTCCTTGGTAACTTTATCCATGTTGGTTATCTTCATTCTAAGCAAGTGAGAAGAACCAACTGTGGCAAGCAGAATAATGGCCCCCAACATGTCTACATCCTAATCTTCAGAACCTATGAATGTGTTACCTTACATAGCAAAAGGGACTTTGCAGAAGTCATGAAAGTTTAAGGATCTTCTGAAGCAGAAGATTATCCTGGGTTGTCCAAGTGGGCCTGATCACATGAGTCCCCCAAAGAGGAAAACCATTTCCCGCTGCAGAGAACCAGGAAGGTGGCATTGGGAGAAAGACTCAGCCCACCACTGCTAGCTTTGAAGATGGAGGAGGGGGCCAAGAGCCAAGGAATGTAAATGGTCTCTAGAAGCTGGAAAAGGCAAGAAAATAGATGCTCCCCTTGATCAAGGAAAACAGTTCTGTCAACACGTTGGTCTTAGCCCAGGGAGACTTGTGTCAGCTCTATGAACTACAGAACTGTAGGATAACACATTTATATTGTTTAAGCCACTAAGTTTGTGGTCATTTGTTATGGCAGAGATAGAAAATAAATGCAACAGTAATATCCAGTTATACATGCTAATAAGAGAGTGGAATGAAAGACAGTTCCAAATAAGTCTAAATATTATATCATATTCCAAACATATTCCTTGTTTTCAAAATAAAGATTATTGTTTTTATAAATGGACAATTTTTCTTGACACCACTGAATAAATGATAAACCAATATTTAACGAATATCTGTTTGAAAGGTGCCAAATTATTGGCATCCATGGGGTCTTAGCTTAGAAATATGGAAAGGTTTACCCAATGTTGATTCAACAAATGCAAACAATATTTCATTGGTACTTTATTGCAGGGTACTTTCAGAAATAATTATTTTTATAGTCCCTGCTAGAAAACTAGTGAGCCATGTATGGATATGAGTAGAGGAGTATTAACTAGAAGTACAAGCTCATAGTTCCTGGGTGTACGAGGAAGTGGAGATGGCTCTCTGACAGGTGACTTTCTTAGAGGCGACCCCCAATAGCTCGGTCTTGAAGGATAAGAGGGAGGGGCCGGAGGGGAAAGAGTTCAGGCAGAGGGACCCAGAACACCGACGATGAACATGAGGAATCCTAGGCAGTCTTGGAGAGCTCAGACACTGCCTTGATCAGACTGGGAGTCTCCTCTACCCTCCATGGCCGTCCCGGTTCTATGGAGTTGGTGGAGTTGGGAAGAGATGTCTTGGCCTAAGGTCTTATTCTCTGAGTACTGCATCTTGCCATGACCTGCTGCTTAGCCTGTCCCAGACTCTCTTCCACCCACATTGGTCCATTCAGCATCTGGAGAAATTAAAAAGACAAACTATTATCTGTAGAATACCAACAAGTGTTTTCTTCTGTTCTTTAAAGGGAAGGAATATTTAATTAGTTCACCTGCAGGCCTCATTACTAACAGGAAGTTACTTCAGTACAGGGGAAAGCTGAGGATAAATTGAATGATCTTCATAAATATTCCATAAATTGATCATTTCTGTCTTATCAATTTGGGCTTAGGAGGGTGGGAAGGTATGATAGCACCTAGGTGAGAGGAGGAAATGAGTGAGGTCGGAGACACAAGGAAAGGTAACCCTGGATGGAGGATGGGGAGAGCCTTCGTTAACTTAGAAATTTTCTTCAGGGGACATCGTGGTCTGGAGATGTCTTTCCCAAGCCTGTGAATCCCAGACTTTGTGCTGTGGAGAAATTGCTAAACATCATAACTCATTCATTACCACGTTTCTTTCTTTTCTTTTTTTTTTTTTTTTGAGACAGAGTCTCACTCTGTTGCCCAGACTAGAGTGCCATGGTGTCAGCCTAGCTCACAGCAACCTCAAATTCCCAGGCTCAAGCAATCCTTCTGCCTCAGCCTCCCAAGTAGCTGCGACTGTAGGCATGTACCACCATGCCCGGCTAATTTTTTTAGTTGTCCAATTAATTTCTTTCTATTTTTAGTAGAGACGGGGGTTTCACTCTTGCTCAGGCTGGTTTCGAACTCCTGACCTTGAGCAATCCGTCCGCTTGGCCTCCCAGAGTGCTAGGATTACAAGCGTGAGCCACCGGGCCCGGCCCATTATCACATTTCTTAGCTGGATCAGGATAGTAAGTCATAAAGCTGCTTCATAGCAGTTTACACTTAAGTTAGATGCATGATGTACTGCATGGTTTCTATAGAGTCTGAATGGAGTCCACTTGGTTCTAGAGCAAGTCCTGCCATAATGACAAAAACCAACAAATCATCGTCACTGTCATTATCATCCTCATCACCACCATCATCATTGCTATCAGCAACAATAACACATACCTAACTTTCCTAAAACAAAGTGCAGATTGTTTACAACTATGTTAACAAGTGTTATTCCATCAGCCCTCCTCACTCTGCCTTCTAGCGAGGTGGAATATGTGAGAACGTTAGCAGGACACCTGGCCACCACCTGGTGTGAGTCAACCAAAACTATGATGTCGTGTAAACTACAACCTTAAATGGGATCTCTTTCTGAGGCTTCCTTTCTTGAACTCGTTCCACATATTATGGAAATAAGAGAAAGCCTGCTGGTCCAAGGCAGGAAAATAGCAAGAATTAAAATATAGACGTGAAGAAAAGAATTTTGCACATTTGTGTTAAGCTCATGGAAGACTCTCTAGGGACAAGAGTGATTCATTATATAAACAGGAATGAGGTTCCACATGCTTAACAAGGATCTAAAATACTCCCTGAGACAATTCTTTGAAGGCAAGTTACTCTGTGATGTTAGCAATTAAATGGGAGAAGATAATGTCATTGTCTCCCTGTGTATCAATAACAACAAAGTGCAGGGCAGCATGAACATGTCTGTCCTCATGAATTCACTATGGCAACTTGGGGAAATGTGGCTGCTAAGTACTAGCCTCTGGGGTGCATAAAGGTGGTTATTTCAAGAGAACTATCAGAAACTGACAAAAAATTTAAAGACAAAGATGATAAGAAAGATGTGCTAAACTAAACTAACTAAATATCACAAGCCTCTGGATGGTTGTCCTGAGTTTCTGCTGCAAAGTACTTGTCTGCAATATTTTAAGGACTTAATAGAATTTTATTTTAAAGCCATGACATTAGCACAGTTAAGCCAATCAATGTTTTTTAATAGCCTTTTAAAGGTGCCTTTTTAATTGTGCTCTGTGGGAGGGAAAGGCACGTGAAGATTGGAAAACATTTGAAAATGGCTTAGTCAGATCTTTCAAAAATATTTGCAAGTGCAAATTTCCACCTTGGTTTGATTGCTGTAGTAGTGAGGTTAAAGTGCAAGATCTAAAGGGCTTATTCCCCAGTGAATAAACAAAGATTTAACCCTCATATAGGTTGATTCAGCTCAGCCCCATGGCTAAATGTTTGGGATCTGCACCTGTTTCCGTTTAGGACACTAAGAGAGCTATGGTTTCTCTTAAGGAGAAGTAACTCTGCACAGAACTTCCCCTGTCTTCCTTGGGGCCCAGGACACTCATGTTGCTCCTTCTAGCAGTCCTTTGACTGTCTGAATGTTTGCCAGTGACCACTTTGGTTTTTATAGGTAGAATGTACCTGAGCACCTGGATGAATTGCAGAAAGTACAATTAACTTTTCAGCTTGTTTGTTGGCACAATGCCTACATTATTAGAACAATCATTACAAAGTCCATCTCCCTTTCCTCTTAACTTGTTTTGTATGATACTGTTTTTGTTGTTTAAAAAATGTTTTCATTTATACTATCCTTTTGGGAGCCCCACGATAGTCATATGAGATAAGGAAGTTATTAGTTTCTGTTTTATAGATGTACAAGCTGAAGCTTGGAAATGTGGAGAGATTTACCCAAGGTCGGTTTAACACTTTCAACCGATATTTCACAAGTGCTGTATAATGCTTTATATATCCCCGGGGGCTTTAAAAATGATTCTTTTATAGTCCCTACTAACAAACTAGTGAGCCAAATATCTACCAAATCTTCTCAGTTCTTCTTCAGTACTATTTCCATAAAATTATGTTGCCTTTTGCATGGCATGTAGAATATTATCTGAAGAATTTACTTCTTTAGAATTTTTTAACTCAAATATTCATTGGTTTGAAGTTTCAACATGAAGACAGAGAAACGTACAGACCATTTAAGAGCAATGAACTAATAAGAGAAAGGTATTTGGCCTTTCTTTTTGTTTTGATTGTTTTCTCAAAGAGGAGTCATTTTGGATTGTTTTTTTTAACCAAGCATTTCATTGCAGTGTTTCATCAAACCACTGTGGACTGCTGTATGATCTGTATGCTCAGTTATGACCAGAGGCCATCAGTGTACACATGCAATGAAACAGTCTGAGTTAGGTGGAGAGAGAGATTAGAGATGAGGCCTGGAAACTGGGCTGCCATGGGCATCCGTGGCCAGGCTGTAAAAGGACTAGCATGTCACATGTTGTTTTTCTTTTTGACAACTCCAAACTTTCCTAAGTTAAGCTAAGAGGAACAGGTTTTCTCCCCTACATCTCAGTTTTTATCGTGGGTCATTAATGAGACGTACAAAGGAAAGGGAAGGCGGGTGGCTGTCAGGCGTGGTTCAGTACTGAAATCAAGGAAAGAATCTCTGTTAGGGCAGAAGAGTGGGGTTCAGTCTCACATAGATGGATTAGCACCCTAGCTGTGTGAGCCTTATGCTTTAACCTTTCGGGGACTCAGTTTCTTTATAGTACAATTGCGCTAATAACGCTATTTTAATGGGCTGTTTTAAGGGTTACATGAAATAACATTATAGGAAGGGTCAAGCAGAGCTCATGGTATATGGCAGGTACACAATAATGGTGGCAGCTACTACTCCTGTGACTGTCACTCTCACCAACACTGGTGCAATTAGGGTTGAGAGAGCAGGAAACCAGATTAGCTTTAGTCTGCCTCATTTCCAACTTCTTGCATCCTGTTTTTATGGACAGAAAGGGCAAGACCTTGACCAACCAAATCACAGTTAGAAACCCATGCCTCAAGCATTTTAGTTGAAAATGCAGGAACTGGTTGCTGGGTACTACAAGGACTTCACTAATGGTATTTTTAGGTTGGTTTATTCTGGAGGCTACACTGGGCATTAGAATTTTAGATTTCAGATATGTTTTCTGCTGTAATTCAACTGTTCAGCCACTGTGATTAAATACTTTAGTCTTCTGAACTTCTGTTTGTCTTGTGCTAAATAAGAGTGGAACTATATGTCTCAATCAAATCGAAGTGGTAGAAGCATTTGAATGGCACAGGCCATGTAATCTGCACCTGATTTCTTGTATGTCTCTTCTGTTCCCTTGTCCCCATCCCCAACACAAGCATGCACACTCTTCCTCTCTTTTGTTCTTTTTGTAATAAATGCTTTGATATAGTTAAGCCACAGTAGGGAGTCCTTGCTTTTGTTTGTTCATTTATTCAAAGAACTTTTCTGAGCACCTATTACATGTCAGGCACTGACCTATTTAGGGAAGTGCTCTGTTCCCCTGGCGTTCCAATGGACAGCAAATGAATCGTGGGTTCATGTATGATCTGGCAGCATAAGAACTTTGTAAGTGGAAACAGTAGGTCAGGCAGCTAAAGGCGAAGTCCATCTCCGCACAATGAGAGAGACTGAGTTTGGAATGATGCACTGTTATCTGGGAACCTCATTATTAGCAAGTCGGAGACATACTGGACAGTGTTCAGAGAAAAGCAACAAGGATGATAAACGGGCGGAAAGACTGATTTATGAAGACTTACACAACAAAATAGGTATTCTTGGATCAACAAAGACTTCAGAAGAAATGCGATCACTATCAACAACTCTCTGAAGGTTGCGAATACTCCAGAGGAATACGTGGTGTTGAGCCTGATATTTGAAATGGTGACAAGGAATCACAGGATGGCAAATTTAACCTGTGGATCAGAGAAATATGAGGCCAGCAAATCTATCTATGCCTTATTGACAGAAAGTGGCTTTGAAGGGCAACATCCTTACTCTATTTTGCTTCCTATCTATATTCCTGCAATTGTCATTATATATAATCATTTGTTTTCTGTTTATGCTCAAGGATTTTATGAGTGTTTCCTATTTACATATGCCTTCCCTGAAGATGTCAAGAATAAAATATTTGATTTTTTTTTTTTTTACCTTCTACTTCAAAAGCCTGAAGATAAAAGCAGTTAAGGATAGTTTGGTTTCTTTTTAACCAAAGTTTGCATGCTTCACCTTTGCTGAAGGTCATTGCTATAATGAAGGATTTTATTTCTATGAAAAGCTAAAGGGGTAGGGTGATTCTTTATAAAACTAACCTTTAGTTTCTTATGTAATCAAAAGTTT